TGATAGATGCAGCAAAGCTCATCTTTACATCATGACAGTGTTGGTAAGGCAGAGAACTTAACCTCGTTACCAGCTGTAGGAATTCACCCAGCTTACGTTGTAGACAGTTGACTGGTCCTGATTGTGAATTCCCATTCTTTTTATTAGTCATCTAAAGTTTATTCACTAATTTGAAATTCTTTGCTTTTGTTGAAATACAAAACCATGAGAAAAGATGATGATTCTGATGACCTTGTAGAGGAATACAAGGAATTCAAAGAAACTTAGGAAGATCTATATGAACAGATGCAGAGCAAAGTAACAGAACCAAGAAAATAATACACACAAGGATCACGGCAATGTAAAGGAAAACGGTGCAAAGAGATCAGAATTCAGATCTCCACACATTGGATCGTTTGAATGGTAGCTAAAATTTATAACACTTAATTTCTTTTCTGTTTCTGCTGTGATTGAAACTGAATTGTTTTCTTTTCTCCATATATTTAATCATCCAAATGACAGCTAAAATTCGTAATACTTAGTTTATTTTCTGTTCCTGCTGTAATCGAAATTTGAGTTGTTTTCTTCTGCTTTTTAAAAGAGTCTTTGTCTATTTCTTCAACAGGTGGTTGGACAAATTAGGTCTGTCAGCTAAAATGGGTATTGAGGGGGTAATGAGACAAGTGTTGTTTGGATCTGGACACTATCACTTAGTAGATGGAAACTTCAATCCCATGCCTGTAAGTGACTGTTGCTTCCCCATTTTTTTTTTTTTAGGCAATTGGGGTTAAGTGACCTGCCCAGGGTCACACAGCTAGTAAGTGCCAAGTGTTTGGTCTGAGGCCAGATTTGAACTCGGGTCCTCCTGACTTCAGGGCAGGTGCCCTATCCACTGCCACCTAGCTGCCCCTGCTTTTTTCGTGAATTGATCGCAGCTAGCCACTCTAAGAAAGCTTACAGCTCTTCAATAACATGTAGCCTTATTATAGTCGTCTGTGTTGTCATCGGGTATTTGGCATTGTGAATGAGAAAAACGAAGGCACTTGAAACAGAAATGTATTTTTCACAAATTCTTGATTTGAAGTTTATCACCTGTTAAAAGTAAAGAATTGATAGTTTTTAAATGGTATGAGGTAAATCCATGAGAATATTGAAAACCATATCCGAAAAAAAGAAACCACATTTTCTTTTTCTTTTTTTAGCTGGCATATCTTTATTTTTTATTAATTTATTTATTGAATGATCAACCATCATTTACATAAGCTTTTGAGTTTTACATTTTTCTCCCCCTCCCTCCCTACTTCCCTCCTCAAGATGCTGTGCGATCTGATATAGGCTATACATATACATTCCTATTAAACATATTTTCACGTTAGTGATGTTGTAAGGAAGAATTACAACCAATAGGAGGAATCACCAGAAAAAAGAAACAAAATATGACAGAAGGAAAAAATACCAAATAGTATGCTTCAATCTGCATTCAAACTCCATAGTTCTTTCTTCTTTATGGATAGCATTTTCCATCATGAGGCCTCTGGAAAGGTCTTATATTGCTGAGAAGGGTTAAGTTTATCAATATTAGTCATCTCACAACATGGCTGCTATTATGTACAACGTTCTCCTGGTTCTGCTCACTTCACTCAGCATCAGACCATACAAGTCTTTCCAGGTTTTTCTGAAGTCACCCCGTTCATCATTTCTTACAGCACAACAGTGTTCCATTACATTCATATACCACAACTTGTTCAGCCATTCCCCAGTTGATGGGCATCCTCTCAATTTCCAATTCTTTGCCACCACAAAAAGAGCTGCTATAAATATTTTTGTACATGTGGGTCCTTTTCCCATTTGTATGATCTCTTTGGGATTCAGCCCTAGAAGTACTATTACTGTGTCAAAGGGTATGTACATTTTTATAGCCCCTTGGGCATAGTTCCAAATTGTTCTCCAAAATGGTTGGGTCATTTCACAACTCCACCAACAATACATTAGTGTTCCAATTTTCCCATATCTTCTCCAACGTTTATCATTTTCCTGTTTTGTCATGTTGGCCAATCTGAGTTGTTTTGATTTGCATTTCTCTAATCAATAGTGATTTAGAGCATTTTTTCATATGACTATAGATGGCTTTAATTTCTTCATCTGAGAACTGTCTGTTCATATCCTTTGACCATTTATCAGTTGGGGAATGACTTGTGTTCTTATGAATTTGACTTAATTCTCTATATATTTTAGAAATGAGGCCCTTATCAGAGAAACTGGTTGTAAAAATTCTTTCCCAATTTTCTGCCTTCCTTCTAATCTTGGTTGCATTGGCTTTGTTTATGCAAAAACTTTTCAATTTAATGTAGTCAAAGCTATCCATCTTGCTTTTCATAATGTTCTCTGTCTTCTGTTTGGTCATGAATTCTTCTGTTCTCCATAAATCTGATAAGTAAACTATAGTTTCCTTGCTCTCCCAGTTTGCTTACAGTATCAGCCTTCATATCTAAATCATGAACCCATTTTGACTTTATTTTGGTATAAGAAACTGCATTTTCAAGCCAGAAAAAATCATACTCAGATTTTCTACCTTTAAAACAAAACATAACATTTTATTGATTAAAAAAAAAAACAACTTTGCTGTCATTTCCCAATAATACCCTTCCATAGAATCCTTCCTTGTAACAAAGATGTAGAGTAAAGCAAACTAGCCCCCTGATCATGTCTGGCAACATATGCCTCATTCCATCCTGTAGCACCGCCCCCCCTAATGAAAGGGAAGAGATATGTTTGTTTCATTATCAGTGTGGAGTCATAATTGGCCATTTCATTGATCTGAATTCTGATGTCTTTTCATGTTGTTTTCTTTTACATTATTGTGGTCATTGTGTGTGTATTCTCTGGGTTCTATTTATATGACTCTGCATCATTCTTCCCATGGTTCTCTGAATTCATTATATTATTTGTGTGCAGTACTGGTCCATTGTGTTCATATATCGGTTTGTTCAGCCATTCCCCAATCAATGAGTGCCTGCTTTAGCACCATTTTTTTTCAAGATCTCACACTGTTTATTGTTTATTAATTATATCAAAGATGCAGATAGATGGATGGGTGGATTTATTTTTCCCCAATTAATATTATTTTATTTTTTCCAATTATATGTAAAGATGGTTTTCAACATTCACTTTTATAAGATTTTGAGTTCCAGATTTTTCTCCCTCACTCACTTTCCTCCCCTCTCCCCAAGACAGCAAGCAATCTGATACAGGCTGTATGTGTTTGTCACCATTTTTAAGCTATTTATGAAAATTTTATTCTATGTAGGAGCTTATACCTTCTGCCTTTTGCCTCATTTAACCAATTAGCCAGTATTCCTTAAGTGCTGAGCCCTGAGGATTCAAAGCAAAACATAAAACAGCCTCTGTCCTTAAGGATCTTCTTCTTGATCTATTGGGGTTTATGCACAATACACCTTTGGGGTCAAAGGGTATCTTAACCATCTTAACATTTAACCACTTTTCTCACACAAACTGTTTTACAGAACATTTGGACCAATTCACAACTCTTTAACTGTGAATACATTAGTGTGCCTATCTTCCCACAGCCCCTCCAACATTTTTTTTTCAGGCCACATGATATTTTTTTCTCTCCTTAAGTGCTTATATGTGTCCGATGTCCAAGTGCTGAGAGAAATTAAAAGAAAAATAAAATGGCCCCTGCCCTTCTGAAAAAAAAATATGTGTGCTACAGTGCTAAGAAATGCTAGAAAGAGTAAAGAGTAGGTGCCAATAGTATACTCAGTTTGTGTGGTTTGTGGGTAGATTTCCCAGCAAACTTGCTCTTTATCTGTAGTGGTCTATGCATTTTGAGAAGTTTAGTTGTAATTTAGAGGCTGTCATTCTTTGACTAATGACCTTGTAAAAATGGAATTTATCTATTTCCTACATGTATTCTGAATTGAGAGGCAGCCTGGTATAGTGGCAGAGAGCTGCCCTCAATGCCAGGAACACCTGGGTTCTATTTATGCCTCTGACAATACTGACAAATTACTGCTTAAGTGTTGTGGGGCCATGCTCCAAGACCATAAGTTATAAGAAGGTGCCAGCCTTTCTCAATAGAGGGAATTTCCTCACTTGACAGTTTCCTATACTAATGAAATTACAGGTCCAGTTCTTTCCCCTGTGCCTATTCTGGGTTATCTCTATAGTTAAACCAAGTATATATATGTGTGTATGTATGTATGTATGTGTATGTATATATGTATGTATGTATGTGTATATATATATATATATGTGTGTGTGTGTGTGTGTGTGTGTGTATATACATAGTATACAAGAAGGGCCCATAATTGCAGTACAATCGATGTTAACATCTACAAGTGATCCTTATATCCAGGGAGGTTTCCATGACAGTTACTGGCTGATTGCTATGTTGATTCAGATTCTTCCAATAACTCAGGTCTGTCCTTGTCTTAAGTAGGGGATCCTGGTGATCTCCCCTTCCTGGCTTCCCTGGCTTCCCTCCTGTTTCACCTCAAACCCCCTGTTCTGCAAGAAGCCTTTTCTAGTCTTCCTCAATCTTAACGCTTCCTCTTTGAGGTAAAGTCTAATTTATCCTGACTATAGCTGGTTTGTACATGGTTGTTTGCGTATTGTCTCCTCTGTTTAGGTTGTAACCTCTTTGAGGGCAGGGACTGTCTTTTGCCTTTCCTCATATTCTGGGCACTTAGCAATGTGCTTAGCACGTGGCACGTAGTAGGTGCTTTATAAGTGTTTCTTGAGCCTCATAGGAACATATTAATGCCAGTGTCTTTGCCTTAATATAATCTCCAATTTATCCGTCTGTCTTGTACGTACATCATCATTTGCACGGGTTTTTGTCTGGTTGGTGGCTTGCTTTTTGCCTTCCTTTATATCCCGCAGTTCCTGGTATTTAATAGGTGCTTAATAAATGCTCCTTTATCCGAGCTGCCTCAAACATCAGCCTGCTAGCTTTAACTTGACAAAACAAAGAAACAAAATCCATCTATTTTTTCATGCAGGATTATTGGCTGTCTCTTCTGTTCAAACAACTGGTTGGCACCAAGGTGTTAACAGCTAGCGTGAAGAGCCCAGACAAAGGGAAACTTCGATTGTACCTCCATTGTACAAACAGCAACCAGTAAGTATTCTGCAGGCTCAGTCAATCCCCAGTACGTATTATTACTGACACCTTTTGACCCAGTGAGGAAGCATGGTATAGTGGACAGAGAACTGGCCAAGGTCAGGGTGACCCGGACTCAAGTCCCATCTCTGACACGTCTAGGTTGTGTGACCTTGGGCAAGTCACTTGACCTCTTCATGCGCCAGGTAACTCTCTAGCATTATCAGCTGCAGAATAGTTCCTGATCTGAATTGGGAGAGAGAATTTCCTCGCTGGTAATTCATTTTGCCAGCAAAAGTGAAGTCAAATCAACAAGCATTTGTTAAGTCCCTTCTACATGCCAGGCACTGTGCTAAGCACTGGAATTCAGGTACAAAGAAAAAAAAGTATTTTCTTATGGCCAAACTTATTAAAACACTGTGTTGTGATATGGACCCAGTTATATGGCTGGCCCAGCAATATTCTCTGTGTTACATAATTTAAATACATTTCCAACTAAACCTGACACTATCCAAAGGGGCATGATTGAATTAGCACCAAATCCAGCAGTTAGTAATCCATGTGAATAATAGCTTCAGCTCAGTTCTGAAGAGCTCACAAGAGCTGATATTTGCTAGACCTGTAGTTCAGCTGGTTATTACTGGCCACAATTATTATTATCCTAAGTAATCTTAGGAAAATGCTTCTTTCATGTACAAGCCCTGTTGTGAGAATCTAATCTAGAAGTCAAATACTATCGCATGAAACTACCAATCATAACTAGCAATAAGGCCAAAAATCATTATGGTCTGATGTATTCATCTCCTTGTGTTATAATTTATGCTTTAAATTTCATCTTAAAATTATAATAACTAGCATTTATATAGTATTTTAAGGTTTTCAAATAACTCTATAAATATTATCTCATCCTCACAACAACCCTGTGAGGAAGTTGCTTTTATTATCCCCATTTACAGATGAGTAAACTGAGGCAGACTGGTTAAATGATTGCCCAAAGTCACACAGCTAATTTTCTGAGGCAGAATTTGAACTCAGGTCTTCCTGACTCCAGATCCAGCACTCTATCCACTGTACTGTCTAGCCGTCCATCAAAATGCATTTTTTTTCTGAGTATGCTTTCCATTTATAAAAACAAAGAAACTTGACATTTCATAATCCTGTATTCTGGCCTCCAAAGTAATTCGACCTCATCATTTTTGAAAGGCTGACTTTCTCATTTGGGGATCAAATCCATATCAAATCTTTCTTACTGGATAAGGTTATAATCTCAACCCCGTTGAGTGTGCCAGATGCCCTCTCCATCACTCATTGATGAAGAGGGCTTATGGCACAAGGAGTCTCAGCCCAATGCTTTGATTTCCCATGACCATGCTGCTAAGTCTTTGGGGAATGGTGCAATTGGGTAAGGTTTAGGGAAGGTAAATAGCTTTCTACATTTTCATTATGAACCTTCTACACATAGATAGTTTCTGTTCGAATGAGTTTATAATCTGAATTGACATCAAAGTGTGATGGCCGTATTATCCCACTTCCTTTTGAAACTTTTATTAGTCATCTAAAGTTAATTCACTAATTTGAAATTCTTTGGTTTTGTCAAAATACGAAAGAATGAGAAAAGAAGATGATTCTGATGACCTTGTAGGAGGAATACAAGGAATTCAAAGAAACTTAGAAAGATCTAGACGAACAGAGGCAGAGCAAAGTAAACAGAACCAAGAAAATCATACACACAAGAATCACAGTAACATAAGGGAAAACTGAACTAGTGGTTGTCCACCTTCTCAGAACTTCCCCTTAACAAGGCACCAAGCATCTCAGAGTACCTTAGCTGAGGGGGCAATGCTACAAATGAATTGTCGTGGGGTCAGTGGGTGGCTCAATTCTCAATCTTCATCGATCACAACCCCTCAAAGCCTTTGAGGAGATGGTCTCATGCTTCTGCAGTCACTTCCTCTTCCTAAAAAACACCCATAATTTTCTGTTGGCCGACCTTCTAATGAATCTGTCCAAACACAGCTAGGTTGGTCCTCGGATGACAGATTCCATTGTAAGGTGTGCATTCAAGGCCTTTCCAGGACGGTAAAACCTGATAGAAAGTGTTCTTTACTGTCACAGAGTACTGGAACTAGAAATACCAGGATTTCAGAACACCACGAAGCCCTGCGCTACATCAAGTGATACATGCAATTTTTTATATTCTTAGGGCAAAGAAAATAGGGATAGGATGAACATTTTTATTTCAGAGTAAAATTATAATAACATATTGTGTCAATTAATGTGCCTGGTTTTTCTAGTGCTAATAAATGTTTGTTGACTGACTAGTATAATCTTTGAGAGCCCAAAGTCATCTCCAGTCCATGTGTAGGCCTCAGAGAAGGATTGGAGACTGGTAGTAATAATGCAACAATTTTTTTTTTACCCCTGTAACCATTCATAAGATAGCAGTGCCCGGAAAATGCCAGTCTGAGATGCCCTTCTGGTGACAGCTACAGGCTCCCAACAGTAGTCAGCAGTTCCTGCTCCCAATACCCCCACCCCACCATATAATTAGGAGCCAACATGGTTTGACCCTGGCTCACTGTGTATCAGGCTGACACAGACAGGTAGTTGAGGCTGTTAGGAAGAGCCAGCTGGGCCAGTCTTGGGTAGGCAAGTTACAGGCTGATGATGACTTGGAGGGAGTTGACCTCAGGTCCTTGAAGGCAGTGTTAGCTGAGCACGGGCTCTCACAGGTTCTCCCAAAATCATGAAGTCTCTGAGTATGGAGTCTAGGGATGAGTCCTCTAGCTGCCATCTGAGAACCACTAGGCGGACAGCTCCGATGGATCTGTCAGGTACAGAACACTCTCAAATATTGTGCTGGGCTCTGTTTCAGTAGAGGAAGGATCCTGAAAGGATTACTGTTTCATTGTACCTTTCCGTATGTTAACATAGAAACCAAGACATCAACATGTGTCTCTCTTCAGTGCATTGATTATGGCAAGTACTAAATACCTACTAAATAAATGAATGAATAAATCCAAGTTGGTCTAATGTGCATGTGTGCGTGTGTGTGCATGTGTGTGTTGTGTGTGTGTGTGTGTGTGTTCATGAAATTTGTATAGGCTAGACAAATGCAATGCCATTAATAATTTAATCTGTTTTGTTTTAGTCCAAAGTACAAAGAAGGAGATTTAACTTTGTATGTTCTAAATCTGCACAACAACACCAAATATCTAAAGTTACCTTCTAAATTCTGTGACAAACATGTGGAAAAATACATCTTGGAACCTTCTGAATACCAAAATCTACGTTCCCAGTAAGTAATATCCCACGTTCCTCATGCCCTCAAATTTATCAATGTTGACCAGGGTGTTGGCATAGTGTTGCTAACAGCTGGTTAGGAGTGGAAACGGTGCAGCCTTTCCAAGTTTTAAATACATTTCCTTTTGATTAGAGACATTTTAAATAAAGAGTAAGTGGTTAGCTTTCTGAATTTGGGCCAAGTTAAAGCATTACAGATGTTTCCCTACTTTAAGAAAATCCTACACACAGGAATTTAGCAAACATATCTCACAGTAGCACTTGACAAATTCTGTCAAGAATCAGCTCCTTGGGGCAGTGAAGTGGCTCAATGGATAGAGCTCCAGACTTGGAGTCAGGAGGACCTGAGTTCAAATCTGACCTGGGCAAGTCACTTAACCCTAATTGCCTCAGCAAAAAAAAAGGCTCATTACAGAAATAAACTAATTGTGCTCTTGTTAATAGAGGAAGAAAGGCCTGGAGGCGTATCTTTTAGTTACCTTCAGTACCTCAGTTGAAGATCTGTGAGCTCATCAACGTGGGTGGTCTCTCTGTCTACAAACCACCCAGTATTTAGCACAGGCCCAGCACATAGTAAGCACTGTTGATAAATGCGTCTTCCTTCATTCATATCCACACTTTCTCATCCAGTGCAACTCTTGTCCTTACTTCCAGGCTTGTTGGGGGTCTCTGGAGCAATAATTCTTTTTTTTTTTTATTAATTTATTTTGATTTATCAACAATCACTTTCATAAGCTTTTGAGTTTTAAATTTTTCTCCCCCTCCCTCCTCACAATCTGATATAGTCTCTACATATACGTTCATATTAAATATATTTTCACATCAGTCACATTGTAAAGAAGAATTAGAACAAATAGGAGGAACCACAAGAAAGAGGAAACAAAACAAAACAGAAAAAAAAAAGAACAGATAGTATGCTTCGATCTGCATTCAAACTCCATAGTTCTTTCTCTGGATGTGGATAGCATTTTCCATCATGAGACCCTTGGAGATGTCTTAGATCCTTGTATTGCTGAGAAGGGCTAAGTCTATCAGCGTTACTCATTGCACAACGTGGCTGTGACCATGCACAACGTCCTCCTGGTTCGGTAGAGCAGTAATTCTGGATTCCCCTAACAGTCTGGTGAAACCTATAGACTCTTCAGAATCATGTTTTTAAATAATTGAAGGAAATGGGAAATTTCAGTTAGAGTTTATTGAATATAAAGATGTAGGTTTTTACCCACCCAAGTTTACAGATCCACTGAAACCTATCAGCAGCCCTCTTAGGAGAGGCAGAGAGGGTCTGTGGACCCCAAGTTAAGAACCCCTGTTCTAGCATTGATATTGTATGATTACCTCTCACAATTGCTGTATGATTTGGCCCAAATCTTTTGAAATAACTATTTATACTTTCTTTACATCATAATCATTTCCTAGAACTCTACTTTTTTCCCAAGAGGAACAATTCAACAAAACAAAATGACGCATAAGCCATATCTAATAGCATATGGAGTATTCTTCATCCATGGGCCACCACCTCTGTTGGAAAATGTTTCAGTGTTTGTGATCAAATTGATCACTGTATTAACAGCTCACTTTTATCAAGAGTTTTCAATCTATAAAGAGCTTCAAAAACAATTTCTCATTTGATCCTCACAACTCTGTGAGATAAAGCTATGTTTCAAATTCTGCCCCAGCATCACAGAGCTAGTAAGCAGCTGAGGCAGGATTTGAATTTGGATCTTCTTAACTAAAAGCCCGACACAGCATTCAATAGACCGCGATTCCTTTTGAATTCTCACGTCTTTTCATGTCATTTTCCTTTGCCGTTTTGAAATCATTGTGCATGGTTCTGCCTTCTTTTTTCTGCATCACTTCCTACAGGTCATCCCAAGCTTCTTTTATTTCCTCATATTTGTTGTTTCTGTTGACTCTAGTAAGTCAGTAATTTACAATTCTATTTGATTACATTTGTCAACTGTACAGAACCAGCTTTTAACCTGTGGATGGCTGGAGCCGAAAAGAGCAGACTACAGACAAGAGAGTCAGGAATCAAACGGGAATTTAATTTCAAAGTGACAGAGATAGCTTGCAAGCAAGGACGTGTGTGCCAGAGCCCCGCTCCTAGCGAGGAGACCCAAGGCAGAATGGGGAGCCATGCACCAATGACAATGAAGGGTGGTAGCCACAATGAGTCAAGTTTGATTCCCAGCAGGGCTTCGTGACCGCAACGTGGGTACTTGTCCAAGCTTGTCTGAGCTCAGACAACAGCCGGTGCTGGTCAAACAATACACTAATTTTGTGATTTTGCCAGAGGGTGAGTGCAAAGGATTGTGGTTATGCCAAGCTCAGACCTCAGCCTGCTCGCGTGGCCTTAGCTCTGGAAAACAGGGCGTCTTCTACTATCCTGACACATTCATATACCTCAGTTTGTTTAGACCTACCCCCTTCGATGGTCACTTATTTTGTTGATTTTTAAAATACATTTTATTGATGCGTTTTGCTTTGACATCAGTCATTTCCAGATATACCTGCCTACCCAACAACTAGCCGTCCTTTGTAACAAAGAAGAACCATCAAACAAAACCATGCCACATAGTGACCACATCTGAGAGTGTATGGGGACATTTTGGATCCATCCCCACTGTCTAATCACATTCACTAATGGACCAAGATTTTTGTAAACTTGCTTTTCCCTCCACAGTTTCTTGCTACTTTTGTGAGTTCATGGTCACTTCCACAGACTGATGAGACATTGAGGTGGACTTCTGTAAAGGTTGTGATACTTTGGATTTAACCTTAAAAAACAAAAATACTTTATTGAAATCATGCTGCCGAAAAGTCCCAGTTCCATTTGCTGCTTGTAATGTCGAGTCAGCAAGCATTTACCATGCACTTAGTGTGTGCCAGGCACTGTACTAATGTGTAATAGGAAATGTCATAAGAGTATGGTGGAAATGGATATGTGTATCTTGAACAGATGAGTATACTCATGTTTTAAAATTGCAAAGAATTTTTTTCTATTTTATTCTTATATATTGGGCCATGAAAAATTTAAATAGCCCACAAGATTCTCTCTAACTTTCCCCTTACCTGAAAATACAGTACCATAAGTTCACAAGTGTGATGATAGATTCACTGTTTCAGATTCTGATCAAGAGTTTGAAAAAAATGTGGCATAGAATTCATTATGCTGCATTTTTCCTTTCTCTCAAAATTCTTGGGACTATCTTCGGTCTGCTCCTCATGAGGGGCAGTTACCTAGGTTTTGCTATAGAAAAGATACCCAAACTGATTTATGATCTCATCTCTGTGTGGATTCCCTCAAGCAATGTTGATCCCAACCCCTTCCTTTTTCCTCCTATATGATTCTTATTTATTTCTGTCAGTCTTCCCTTGTGGATCCATCCAATGTGCTAGATAGAGTCTTTCCTCTATTTTTTGCCCCAATACTTTAGGTCACCGATGGTGAAGACACTATGACTTAAGTACCTCTATCCTTTCTTAAATCAAGGAAGCCCTTATTCCAGCCCCACCCCTCAACTTGCTCCCTAGCTTTTGTATCCCCAGATGGTCTTCTCTCATGTCCAGCAAGCTGCTGTGCAGCTAAGCCAGACTAATCTACATTACCCCTGGGTAACCCTTAAGTAAGTGTCCTTGCCTCAGTCTTGGTTTTATGACAGGATGACTAAATTCAGATACTTTTGTACTTAACGCCCTCTCTTCCTCTAAGAGATGGGAGCCTCTTCTTGAAGACACACTATCTGCTGCTTGGTTAGCTATTTGTTTCTTTGCTTGCTTTTAAGTAATGCTTTGCACAGTCTTAAGGATAACACAACAAAATGGCTCTTATTCCATTACACCTTGTTGTCTTTGGGTAGTTCATCTATTAATTCTCGTTAGTATCACACAACAGGTTCACCTCCTTTTTCAGCCAAATCACAGAATCGTAGAGCCAGAACCGGACAATGGCCTCAGAGGTCATCTAGTCCAGACCCCTCCAACAGGTCTTTGATGGTTTCTCTCCCACCCCCATTCCTGGTATGCATGTCAGAGTGGGTAATATGCGACAGCCCACTTAACTACAACAGGAGTCAGTCTGCTGTGCTTTGAGTCACCTGTATTCTGATTCTTCCTAGGTCATGGTGGTTCATGGGACACAGGCATGTACTCACCTTAGGATCATGAAAGATGGTCTTTTGCAGCAATAGTTAGCTTGGAATCCTTGAAAGCATTGCAGTTTCTGAAATGTCCCCCAACCTGATCTCCTGCTCAGTTTTAGACCCAGCTCACCGTCCAGTGGCGGTGTGCCTCTCCAGGACACACACTGATGGACATTGAGGTGCTGCCCATTATGCCCTTTTCAGCTAGCTGCAAGGTGCAGCAGTAGATAGAGCACTGGACCTGGAGTCAGGAAGACCTAGGTCCAAATCTAGCCTCAGACATTTACTAGCTGTATGACCCTAGACAAATCACTTAACCACTGTCTGCCTCAATTTCCTCAATTGTAAAATGGGGATAATTAGAGCATCTACTTTCCAGGATTCTTGTGAGGATAAAATGAGACACTTTGCTCACTTTCAAGTGCTATATAAATGCTAGCTATATGTCTACTTTGTTTTTTCCAGTGTGGTAGAGACTGAAACAATATATTGTAACTAGTTATGGATTTAACCAAAGACCCTGAATGAATTGATGAAAGAAATACTTAAATATTTTTATGGAATTTTAGAGATGTCTTGTAGATTAATTCTTTTGGCTATTTTCATCCTCTTTATAAAATCCTTGATAGACATAAAAGCCTCTGCTTTTAGCACCCCATTTAATTGGTAGCCCAGTAATTCACAAGGTAAGAATTCTTTTTTTTTTTTAAATATACTGAGCCAAATCTTCCTAACTTGGTGTTCACCTCCACAGTTTGATTCTCTCAGGGCAATAAAGGACCAACATTCACTTTTTCTGCTAGGTGACAACCTTTTAAAGACAGCCATCATCTGCCCCCCAAGTCTTCTCACCTTCAGGTTAAACGTTGGTCCTTCTCACAACTTCCTTCACCGGCAATATTCTAGACTTTTGTATGCAATGTTCAGTGCACTGTGGTTTTTCAGTTTCATTCTTAAAACGTGACATTGAGAATGAAACTCAGCCCGTGGGGTGTGGTCCAACCACGGCCAGGCATGACAGAACTATTTTCTGTACCCTGTTTCTGTTAAAGCAACCTAAGGCTATGCTAGCCTTTTATTTTATTTCTTTTTTATATTAATTTAGTTTTCATTTTCAACAATCACTTCCATACGCTTTTGAGTTTAAAATTTTTTCCTCCTCCCTTCCTACCTCCCTCCCCAAGATGGTGCACAATCTGATATACAGACTTTTATTTTAAAATATTTTTTCTTTTTTTTTTTGGAGTCAGTTACAGTGAAGTGACTCGCCCAAGGTCACGTGGCTAGTAAATATCCAAGGCTGGACTTGAACTCAAGTCCTCCTGACTCCCGGGCTGGGGCTCTATCCACCATGCCACCCAGCTGCCCAACTACCAAAAACAAACAGAAATATTTTGTCAATGTGTTTTGATTTTGCATCCTATTTATTTCTGAAAATATCCTTCCCTATTACTCAACGAACCGAAGAGCTCTCCCTTGTAATAAAGATTAAAAAAGAAGGAGGAAGAGGGCAGGGAGCATTTAGCAAAATCAACCCTGTTCTGATTTCATTAGAGTCCCTTGTCCACTGGCCTTTCTTTCATTCCTAGCCCTTTTACTCTACGCTCGAGGCAACCAGGTGGTGCAAAAGATCAAAACTAGACCTAGAGTCAGGAAGGAACACGTGAGTTCAAATCTGGCCTCCGACACTTACTGGCTGTGTGACCCTGGGCAAGTCACTTAATCTCTGTCTGCCTCCGTTTCATCATCTGCGACCACCTTCCTGGCTTATTGGGAGGATGAGATGTGACAGTATTTGTAAAGCACTGTGCAGACCTTCAGCTATAGATTAATGCTAGTTATTAGGAATAATAATAACAATAACAACTTGAGTGGATAGCATGGTGCAGCGGGTGAAGCGTTGGCCTTGGCATCAGGAAGCCTAGGGCCTGAATCCTACTTTGGATACTTTCTCTGTGACCCTAAGCAAGTCACAACTTTTCCAAGCCTGTTTCATTTTATAAATGAGGACATGAATGTAATAGCACCTGCTCCAGGTTTGTTGTGAGGAGCAAATGAGGTAAGATATGTGGAGTGCTTTACCAGCCTTAAAGAACAACATCAAGGTGAGCTGGTATTATTAGGGGCCTCCCGTCTGCCTCCCCTGCTCCTCCTCCATAGGAGTAGACCGTTGCTGGAGAAAGTTCCTGGGTTCACTCAAAATGGATGCCATTTGATCTCAGCTGAGCAAACCCTGCTCCACAATAATCCTTTCATTCATCTCTTATGGACTCTATCACATCCCCCACAGCAGCTGTTATTGTCATTATTATCATTATTATTAGCACGTATTGTAGATGCAGTTCTTCACCCAAATGGAAATGCACCTAACTATACAGAGCACAAACGCTTCCAGGCTTATTGTTTAATTCACCTTTACTGGAAAAATTACAGAAAAATTATGTTTGCCTCTCTGAAATGGAAACTTTTAGCAAAATGCTTTTATCAAGCACTTCTTCTGTGAAGCCACAGGCTGTCATTTCTTTTATACTGAGAGGACATTTAGTACTTGTGGTTTCCTGATGGTGGTCACAGTATTTGCTTTTGTACCCGACCAATAACTAATGGGATGTAGGTGCTGAAAGCAAACCTGGTATCATGGCAGGATTACCGTGCCAACCTCAGGATCCCATCCTGGGTCTCGGGTGCCACATAACTGCCGTGTCACGTCTTGAAGAGATTCTTTTGGATACAGATTCCAAGTTAAATCAGGATTTGTGCCAGAAAAGAGCAGGTTTGAGGATTTTCTGTTTACTATGTCAGAATTTTAAAAATTCTTCCCAAAGAACATACAATTTTTAATTTTATTTTTTACAAAAAAAAAATCAAGGGAGAACATATTCTATTGATTCTTTTAAATGCATTGTTTCTAGATCTTGTTAACCTACTCTGTTTCATTGGTCAAGTTTTCCATTTCTTTAACCAGTACTTTAATCACATAGAATTATAAACTAATGAGCTCTGGTTTTATTTTCTTATCCTTCTAAAAGTTTTATTTAAATGTCTTTTTTAAAAAAACATTACAATCAACTCCCACTGACTCTACTTCTAACTCCTTTCCTCTCATTTCCAAGAAAATCCTCCATTGTTAGTGACTCTAGGAGGGAAGGAGAAATGAAAAGAGCTACATTTGGAAAAAAAGATAATATTAAAAACCAAAAGATATCAATATATTTTTAAAAGAATCCTTCCATGTAACAAATAAACATAGTCAAGGAAAATAAACCAAAACATTGGCCATGCCTGAAAATGCGCACCTCATTCCCCACCTGTAGTGCGCCACTGCTCCTCTGAGAAATGGAAGGCCTGTTTCAGCACCAGTCCTCAGAAGTCCCAAAAGGTCACTGCATTGACTCGAGTTCTAGGCTTCCAGTGTGCTCCTTATTGTAGGGTGCTCCTCATGTAAATCGTTCTCCTGGTTCTGCTTACAGCATGTGGCTCTGGATGGATTTTGATTGGGGTGAAGAATGACACCCACAGTGCATGTTCACCAGCAAGGCAGCCCCTTATGTCAGAGCCTAGGGTTCAACGTTTCCATCAGTGGTTTTGATGAAGAGGTAGAAAGCCGATGATCAAATTTGTAATTCCACAGATCAATAGTCAAGACAGTGGTTATCTATAAAGTATGGAACATGAGAAAAGTTCCTCAGGATGTCATTGAATCAGGCTCAGGGCAACATGCTATATTTAGAGTCACTTCAATATAGCAAATATTTATTGAGCATCTGTTTTACTGCACATTGGATAACCTCAGAGTCAGTAAGACCTGGCCTCAGGTCCAAATAAAAATTCCTCTTTTCCCAACCTGAAATAAACTTCCATTATGTTCACATCCCACAGTGTTCAGCCACTTGCCAACCAGTGGGCACCCACCTTCCTTCCCAATTATTTGCTACTACAAAAAGGGCTTTTACACATTTTCCTAACCATAGCACCTTTCCCCTTTCTTTGACCTCTGTGGGGATACAAGCCCAAAAGCACTATCATTGGGTCAATAAATTACATCATAACAGCCACAGCAACATTTGTATACCATTCACTATGTATCAGGCTAGGTGGCACAGTAGATAGAGTACCTGGCCTGGAGTCAGGAAGACCTGAGTTCAAATGTGGTCTCAGACACTTACTAGCTGAGTGACACTGGGCTAGTCACTTAGCCCTGTTTGCCTCAGTTTCCTCATCTGTAAAATGGACTTGAAAAGGAAATGACAAACCACTACAGGATCTTTGACAAGAAAACCCCAAATATGCTGAGTGAAATAAGCAGAACCAAGAGAACGCTGTACACAATAACAGCCACATTGTGCAATGACTAATATTGATAAACTTAACCCTTCTCAGCAATACAAGGATCTAAGACATCTCCAGAGGCCTCGGGATAGAAAATGCTATCCACATCCAAAGAACTATGAAAGTTGAATTGCTATTTTTTTTCCTCTTCTGTTGAGTTTTGTTTCCTCTTTCTGATGGTTCCTCCTATTGGTTTTAATTTTTACTTACAACACCACTAATGTAAAAATATGCTTAATAGGAATGTAAATCTATAGCCTATATCAGATTGTGTGCTGTCTTGGGGAGGGTGGTGGGGAGGAAGGGGGAGAAAAAATTTAAACTCAAAAACATTTGAAAGTGAGTATTGATAAATCAAAATAAATTAATAAAATTTAAAAAAATAAAAGAAAACCTCAAATAGGGTCACAAATGAGGTCTGCCATGACTAATGTATCAGGCATTATGCAAAGTGCTTTACAACAAATGCTGTCTCGTTTGATCCATACAACCAACCTCAGAGCAAGGCGCTATTATCATCCCCATTTTATACATGAGGAAACTGAGGCACACAAAGATCAAGTGATTTATACAGAATCACATCAGGCCGTATTTGAATTCAGGTCTTCCTGACTCCTGGCTTCATTACCCCACCAAGCTGCCAGTACCTGATTTACTATCGATTTGCATTCTTTAGAATTGAATTTGACTTAGAAAATAAAACCAGCTAGATTTTCTTTCCCTATCGATAACAGAAATAACAAACAACTTTATAAAACAACAATCCATGAACAATAGCTAACAATTATATGTGGTTTTTAACATAAAATGCAATGTAGCACATATGTAATTATATTATATTCATATAATATATGCTTTCAGAAATATGAATTTGTTGAAGAAAAACCTCCAAATAAAATCTTTTGTGAGTAGATGAAACACGAATTACTTGACTAAATCAGCATCCTTCTCTCCATTTACTTTCAGATCTGTGAAACTCAATGGCCACGTTCTCAAGATGGTGGATAACCAAACATTGCCAGCACTGATTGGCAAACCCCTCTGCCTAGGCTGTCCATTGACTTTGCCACCTTTCTCATATGGATTTTTTGTTATACTAAATGCTAAAGTTGTCACTTGCATCTAAAAGGTGAAGACTGATCAATTTAATCCTATGGATGAACTTCAGGAGTAATGACAGAAGTAAAGTACAACTTGAAACATCATGAAGTCAGGCAAATACATCATCGCATGTCATTGAGTGAAAGCTTCCGAGCAACAAAGACTGGGTCTGAGTGAATACATACCAAAATATGATTCCAATTTCAAAGCTACAAAGAGCCTAAATTTTGTATGTGTTTTATATTTTCATATTTTTAATAAAGTAATTTATGGACCCTTGATGTTATGATACTATTCTTCTCCAAAAATGAAGCCTTAAGAAATTTTATAAAATGCTTATACAATAAAGCCTCCAATGGACTACAGCCAAGATGGCAGACTAGCAAGAAGTCCAGTGAATTCTCCCTACCACCACCAAAAAAAAAAAATTCCCCCAAAAGAGCTAGAAAATGCACCAGACTTAATACTGACCAGGAAATCTAAGGGAAAAATCAAAGTGAGCCATTTTTCTGGCCTAAGGAGCCAGAGAGAGGGACCCTGGGGATGGGGTGTAGCTGGGGGTACACAATGCAGAGTGTGCCAGTTCACAGAAAGGCGATGCACCAGGGCAATCTGAGGTCCCACATCCAATGGGAAGAAGTTTAAACTTGGTGTAGGATTCAAGGACAAGTGCCAACTGGCAGCTCTGTTGCTCACTACCCAGTGCCGAGGCACAGGTCCAGGGTGAACCAAGAAGACCTCTACTGAGGTACTAAGCAAGCAACAATGTCAAGGAACAAATGCAAGTAGCATCTGTGTGGCTTGGACCCCAAGAGCAGAATGGAGTCTGGGTTCAGCCTCCGGCCCCGACCGAAGCCTGAAAAGGAATAACCAGGTCAGGAATCCAAGACCAAATGGGAGCCTGCAGCGATGTGGCTCCAAATCATCAGAACTTTCCAGTTGGCTGACAGTGACGAGTCTAGCAACAGAGGACTGCCATTGCAAATAGGCAAGCCTAAACGCCTGTGCTCAGACTCAAACCCAAATCAGGAAACTGCAGAGTGGGGTGGGGGAAGCTAGCAGACTTTGTCCTGGATCAGACCGCTTCTGGAGCACTGAAATATTACACATGCTGCAGTAACACAGCCCTCGGTGCCCTCAAAAATCACAACAGCAACCCAGCCCAGACCTTTCCTCCAGAAGTGCTCAGAGGTTGACCTTCAAATTAGTCCAAAGTCAAGAAGCAGGCTAGAAGATTAAGAAAACCAAAGAAGAATCCCACCACAAAAAGTTATGAGGGTGACAGGGCCGCTCAAGGCACAAACCTAGAAGAAGAGACTGACTCCACGACATCTACGAGCAAACCCTCAAAGCAAAACACAGATTGGGCACAGATTCAATCAGATCTCCTGGGAGAGATGAGGTGAGAATTGTTAAATATTTCTGTAAATGAAAACAGTACTAAAGGGGGGGGAAATGAAAAAGAAATACGAGTTATGGAAGAAAGAATCAGAAATGGAATTAACAAGAGGTTCAAAACCTTGTCCAAGCAACAAACTCCCTGAAAACTAGAATGGACCAAATAGAAGGCAATGAGTCCATGAGGCAAGAAATATTAAAACAAAGTCCAAAGACAGAAAAAAAATATATGAAATGTAAGGGATCTCATTACAAAAACAACTGACCTGGAAAAATGATTGAGGAGAAAAAAATTTAAGAATTACTAGATGACCTGAAAGCTATGACCAAAAACAGAGTCTAGACATCATATTTCAAATGATAAAAGAAAACTGCCCACATTATTTTGAACCAGAGGCCAAAGTAGAAACAGAAAGAATCCACTGGTCACCTCCTGAAAGGAACCCCAAAATGAAAACTCCCAAGCCTATTATAGCCAAAATCCAGAGCTTCCAGGTCAAATAAAAAAATATTTCAAGCACCCTGAAAGAAATAATTCAAACACTAAACAGGCAGGATCATACACCATCATATAGCACATATTTCACATAACAGCCACCAACATAAAGGAATGGAGAACTTGGAATACAATATTCCCAAAGAAAAAGGACATGAGTTTACTGCCAAGAATCACTTCCCCAGAAAAACTGAGTAAAATCCTACAGGGATCATAAAGAATTATAATTATAAAGAACGGGTCTTCAATGAAATAGCGGACTTTCAAGCATTCCTATCAATGAAAAGACTAGCACTACGTAGAAACTTTGAAATGCAAATATAGGAGTTAAGACAAACCAAAAGGGTCAACTTGAGTGAGATTAAACAAGGTTAAACTACTTATGTTCTAATATGGGGAAATATCACAGGTGTCTCCTTGGAATCTTATCATCATCAGGGGTCATAGAAGGAGGCTAATTTCGTATGAAACCTGGGAGTGGCTCTGTTATGTCTCGATGATCTTAAAAGAGAAATGGAAAGGGAGGGAAAGGGAAATACACTAGGGTGAAGAAGTGAAAGGAAGAGTGGGGGCAATTATCTCACATCATCTGGGGTGTGTACGTAGGAGTCTATGGGGGGGTGGGAGTGGGGAATCTATGGCCTTGAGGTCCTCTAGGTCCTCAAGTGCAGCCCTTTGAGTGGATCCAAACTTCACAGAACAAATTCTTTTATTAAGGATAGACTTTACACAGACACCTGAATTTTACTCTCATTGTAACTGGTCAAAGGAGGGAATCTATACAACTACAGAGTAGGATACAAAAATTCATTTTGCTCAACAAGGAAATAGGAAGGAAAGGGGAGTTGGAAGAATCAGACAGAGGGGTAGATTAAGAGAATGATTAGTATTAAGCAAAGCAAACGCTAAGGATGTACACAAATACTTATAGAACTTTTCATAGTGGCAAAGAGTAGAAATCTGAGGGGGTACCCATCAATTGGGGAATGGCTGAACAAATTATGACATATAAATGTGATAATACTATTGTGCTATAAGAAATGATGAAGGGAATTGTTTCAATGAAACTTGAGAAGACTCGTATGAACTGAGATTCAGCATAAAATGAGCAGAACCAGAAAAACAATTTACACAATGACAACAATACTATAAAGACAAACAGCTTTGAAAGACTTAAGTTTTAATCATTGTAATAACCAACCACAATTACAGAGGACTAATAATGAAACATGCTCCTCACCTCCTGGTACAGAGGCAAAAGACTCAGGGTGCAGAAGGAGGCCTTTTTTTTTTTTACATAGTCAGTGTGGAAATGTGTGTTACTGGACTATATATGTTTGCAAAGGGAGTTTTGCTTTTATTTTTTTTAATTAGGGTGGAGTGGGAGGGAGAACAGGTAGATTTTTGCTGATTAAAAAAAAAAACAAATGAAAGCAACAACAACAAAAAAAACCCACTAAGCCAAAAAAATAGGCAAATGTATTTTTTTTAATGAAAAATTTCCAAGATATGTCTCATATCTTGGACAGTCATCTGTTTCTTTTGTTTTAATCAAAACTATTCTAAATAAACTGGTTTCACATTTTTATTACTTCTTTAACCACTTTTATACTTTTTAAATGAATTCACATAGTCATTTGAGGAACTTTAATAAACTTAAATAACTTTATTCAACCTATTATTTATTAAATAACTTTAATAAAGTCTAAAACCTCTACAAAACCTCTTTTGTTCTACAACTACTTTTGCAGCTAGGTGGCACAGTTGGTTAGGATAAGTATTGGATTTGGAGTCAGAAAGAACTAAATCCATCCTCAAGCAAATCCATACTCAGACTCTTATTTGATCCTGGGTGAATCATTTAACCTCTCCCTAGTTCAGTTTGCTCTTCTAAGATAAGGATAATAATAGCACTTAATCTCTCAGGGTTGTTGTGAGGGTTAAATGAGCTGACAATCTAGAGTGTTTTACTAATTTTACAGAACTATACAAATGCTAGCTATTTTTAAAATAAAATTTTAAAATACAAATTATTACAATATATAATTAAATATGATATTTTAAGTGCTAGCTATTAAAAACATCTTATACAGTTTCTTGGTAGGAATCCAGATTTGTATTAAAAGTTATGTTTTAAATTTTATTTAGCAACTAAGGCTAATACTTGGACTAGTGTTCTTTGGATGGGAAATTATTATTAATAATAATTTGGGGAGTTTTACGAAGCACTTTACATATACTATTTGAACCTCAAAACCACCGTGTGACATAGGTAATGTAAGTACCACCTCCAATTTACAGAGGAAGAAGCTAACACTTAGGAACTTAAGTGATTTGCTCAAACTTACACAGCAGTGCCTGAGTCTGGAATCTGACTTGAAATCCAATGTACTTTACCATATGCTATAGCTACAAAAATTGTAAAATGCTTTTGTGCCCATTGAAAATGCAAAAATGAGTACTTGAATTTATTTTTATGAAATCATTTCCATCCTTTTCACTCTTAATCTTAGTGCCTTCTCTCTGAGAATCCCACCAAGACTATCTCCAATTTATCCTGTGTTTATCATATTTATATATAGTTGTTTGCATGTTTTCTCCCATTATCCTTAAGAGGGGTTATCTCTTGCCTTTTTTTTTCCTTTTTTTTTTTGAATTCACAGCACTTAACAGTGCCTGACATATAGTAGAATTCTTATTGACTTGACTTGATTCAGCAAAAGAGAAAATCGAGCTTACAGGATAGACATAAACCTAGCTTCATTGTTCCTCACCATCACCACTGTCAGTCACTATAGCTCATAATACTCTTAAATCATTTATGAAAATTTTATGTTAACTATAGCAAAGCATTTGAGACTTGGTACATTAAGATATTTTGATTTCTAAAGTAATCTGAAAACAGGCATGCTTATCTGAATTCATTCCTGGATTTGGAGAATATAATAATGCTACCACATTCCAGAGAAAACCTCAAAAGGCACACTTATTTGAGCAATTGAAAGGGATTGTATGCCTATACAGTACTAGCATTCTAACGGGAAAGATGAAACAATTGTCCCTTCAGAGGCTTAACATCTTGAAAGGGTATAAATAAAAGCAGACGTGCGGATGGTTCACTTCTGTTCTGAGTATTTTAAGAGAAAGAAGGGTAAATGGAAGAAGAGAATAGTGAAGAAAGGAGGAAGAAGGGGGTGAAACTTGGTATTTCTTTTAAGTGGGGTATCCAAGAAGAAAATTATGGAAAAACGGAGAAGTAGATGCCAAACGAGTCTCACTCTTATCTGAAATGGATGAAAGAGAAAACAACTCACGTACAAAGAGTCTGGTGTAGAAATACATCAAACTCCATAGGGGAACTGGTGGGGAAGGAAGGAGGGAGATAAGCAAAGGGGAAAATGGCAGAGAGGGAATAGTCTCAAACAAAACAAAATTTGCTTCTCCTGAAAAGGGAATTAAAAGGGAAAAACAGAACTGGAAACTAAAGGACTGCCTGTTATTTGTCTTAGACTACTGGGGAATGGCTAAACAAATTGTAATATATGAATGTATATTATACAATGTATATAATGTAATGTAATATATGAATATATATTATATAATGTAATGTATATAATGTAACAATACTGTGCCATAAAAAAATGATAAAAGGGACAGCTAGGTGGCGCAGTGGATAGAGCACCGGCCCTGAAGTCAGGAGGACCTGAGTTCAAATCCGGCCCCAGACCAAACACTTGTCACTTGACCCTGGGCAAGTCACTTAACCCCAATTGCCTAAAAACTTAAAAAAAGATAATAAAAGAATTTCAGAGAATCCTTAGTAGTGTGAATAACAAAGAAAGAAGTAAATAGAAGTAGAATAACAATTTATAGAATGACTACAACACTGTAACACAGTAGATAGAGCGCTGGGCTCGGAAACAGGATGACTCATCTTCCTGAGTTCAAATCCAGCCTCAGACGCTTGCTAGCTCTGCGACCCTGGGAAAGTCACTTAACCCTGTTTGTCTCAGTTTCCTCATCTGTAAAATGAGCTGGAGAAGGAAATGGCAAGTCACTCCTTTCTTTGCCAAGAAACCCCCAAAATGGTGTCACGGAGAGTCAGACATGGCTGAAATGACTGAATAACAATAACCACATCCATAGATCATAAAGGTAATTTCTTCTTTGCTCCTCTAATTTGCTTATGACATCACCCTTTATGTCTAAGACACGTACCCATTTGGAATTTATTCTGGTAGATGGTGTTAGATACTGGTCTAGACCTGATTTCTGCCAGATTGCTTTTCAGTTTTCCCAACAGTTTTTTTTTGTTGAATAGTGATCTGTTGCTCCAATATCTGAGATTTTTGAGATCTCTGAGCTACCGTACTCAATTATATTTGTATATTATATGCCTAACCTAGTCCACCAATAAACTTCTTTATTTCTTAACCAGCACAAAATTGCTTTCGTGATATAGTTTGAGATCTGGTACTGCTAGGTTCCCTTCCTCCCCCCCAACTCTTTTCAAAATTTCCTTGATATTCTTGACCTTTTATTCCTCCAGATTAATTTTGTTATTATTTTTCCTGCTTCTATAAAGTAATTCTTTGGTAGTTTAGCATTGTACCAAATAAGCACAATAAGTAAATTTAAGTACTACTGTCATTGTTATTACATTGGCTTGGTCTACACAGGAGCAATTAATATTTCTTCAGTTATTTAAATCTGTCTTTATTCGTGTGAAGAGTGTTTTGCAATCGTGTTCATATAGTTCATATAGTTACTGTGGGTGGAACTGTGGCAGGTAAACTCCCAAGTATCTTATATTATCTGTATTTATTTTAAATGGAATTTCTATCTCTTCCTGATGGATTTTGTTGGTTATATGCTAATGATGTGTGTGAGTTTATTTTATATTCTACTACTTTGCCGAAGTTGTCAATCGCATCAATTAATTTTTTACTTGACGGTCTAAGGTTCTCTAAGAAAACCATCATATTATATGCAAAAGAGTGATAACTTTGTTTCTTCTATATCCTCTATTTCTAGCATTATATGACATAGAAATGAGGATAATGGACATCCTTGTGTTACCCCAACATTTTTGGAAAGGTCTCTAATTTATTCCCATTACAGATAATTCTGGCTTTTGATTTTAGATATATGCTACTTATCATATTAAGGAAAGACCTGTTCATTCCTATGTTTTCTAGTGTATTTTACCGGAATAGGTATCATATCTTATTGAAAGCTATCGCTGCATCTATACTCATATGTTTGTCATTTTATTATTAATACAGTCAATTATATTTGTAGTTTTCCTAATACTGAACCAGCCCTGCCTACCCAATTCAAATCCAACTTGGTCATGGTTCATGATCTTTTACGCTATGTTGGCTGTCTCCTTACTCTCGTTTTATTTAAATTCTTTGCATTAATTAATATTCATTGGGGATATTTCCTCTGTTTTCACTCTATCTGGTTTGAATATCAAGACCATATTTATGATGTATAAGGAAGTTGGTTGCACCCCTTCTTTTCTTTTTTTCAATTTATGTAGTATTAGAATTAATCATTCTTTAAATGTTTGATAGAATTCATTTATAAATCTATTTGGTCCTGGATTTTCTTTTTCCTTTGGGAGTTCTTTTATGGTTTCAGTTTTCTCTTGGTCAGAGCCTTCTTGTCAGCTCAGCTCCTACCAGCTTGCCACATTCTGTCCGATGAGTTTCTTGTGACTTCTGTCCCCAACTCTTCCTATGCTGTGATTCTCCTCCTTCTATCTTCATCTGGTTACTTTCATACCTCCCCCCACCATCATTTTTTTTCAATCAATAACAAGAATTTATTAAAAACCTACCGTGTGCCTAGAACTGTATTAGCCACAAGGGATGCAAGAACAAAGAAAAACAATTTCTGCTTGCAGAAATTATATTCTACTGGAGGAGACCAAAAAAGCACATCAAAAAATGTACTGACAACTTTGAAAATCAATGTATCATCATAATGGCTTTGCCAAAATTTTGCTCAAGTTCATTATAAAAGAGATATGTCCCATGTACTCAGTATGCATAAATAGGGAGAGATGTCATTTTCGTATTTGTTCTACAGCAGAGAAATCTGTGCTCCTTCACAGCCCTGCAGTAAAGAAGTCTAATCTTTACTGACCAGGGGTAAGATAAGAAAAGATTATTTCCAATCATTGTGCAATTCCCACTCAAGGAAATGATTAAAATAAAATTTGTAAAGTGCTTAGCCCAGGCCTGGCCCATGTGTGGGGAACCTGCAGCCTCAAGGCCACACATGGTCCTCTAGGTCCTCAAGTGCCACCCTTTGACTGAAAGGATTCTGTCAAAGAGCCTCAAACAGTCTCAAGTCTAATGACTCAAATCAGAGCCTCCTCATGACTCAAAAAGTTCCACTTGTATAATTGTCCCAAAGTCCCCAAACTTTTGTTTGATTTATAATTTCTCAAGTATAACCTTCAACCTTTGAAAACAGACATTGACAAATGAAATGTTGCTCAGTCACATCTGACTCTTCATAATCCCATTGAGGGTTTTCTTGGCAGAGATACTGGAACGGTTTGCCATTTCCTTCTCCAGCTTATTTTACAGGTGAGGAAACTGAGGCAAACAGGGTGAAGTGACTTGCTTAGGGTCACATAGCTAGTAAATGTCTGTGAGGATATGAACTCAAATCTTGTTGGCTCAACGCTTTAGCCACTGCGCCGCCTAGCTGCCAAACGGCAGAATACAAATACCTGAAGTCAGTCATCTATAATTCAAACGGTGCTTTGCCTTCAAACAGGTCCTGATTTAAGGGACAGTTTATTCTCAGGTCCTCAAGACAGTTTACACCCCTCAGCATTTTTATCTGAGGCTGAATTTCTTTTTCATCTAATTCTGTAAGTAATCCATACACAAATGGTTTTTTTTTCTGCCCCATTAACCAAAGGGTTAATAACAAATAAAAGGGTCAGTAACTTACAAAAGATAAAGCAGCCTGATGAAGTACTGATTTCCTCTGTAATGGAAGTCTGGTACATGTGAAGACCCCATCAGCTTGCTAACGGTGTCTCCACATGGAAGATGCTTCCAGGGAATTTAAGGAACTGCTTCCCGGAGACTGGAAGGAAAGTGCCCAGGAGAGAACACTCCACACCTAGCTCACCTAAGAGGACTGGCTGTGGAGGTATTCAAAAGACATTCACTTCAACCAGGGGCCCTTTGCCTGATTCACTTCTGCAGGCTCTTGGATCTTAGTGACTCTTTTCTTTGCATACAGTGTCCGATGAGGGAAGCAGAGTTTCCAATCTTGGGAACAAGCCACAGGAAGAGCAGGAATCGCAGCACCGTCCGAGTTTCTCATCCAGCACAGGGAACAAGGAGTAATCAGAAGAACCCATGCAAGATTCTAGCCTGGCAGAAGGATCCATCCTTCGGCTATTGCAACATCCAGGTGTGAATTTGGTGGGGTTGTTGCTAAGGAGGAACCAAGCTGTTTTCAGCCTAACCTTCTGTGCCCTACTCTCCTCTAACAGATTGAGGTTTTAAAAGAAACATTTGTGTGTTTGTTCTTGTTATATCTGTGAAGTGAATATTCCTGCAGATAAAAGCCGATGTTAGGTAGCTAGAGAAAACTCGAGTGCTAGTCACAGGCCCCTAAAATGGGGAGACTACTGTAGGCTCAAGCCAGTAGCAGAGAAGAGATCTCCTAACCCTCTTAGGGTGTCGAAAAACCTTGAGAAGGTGGTATAACAGGCCTGAATGAATTAATAAAACATTCATTAAGTATCATCAGCCTGAAGTCAGGTAAGATCTGAGTTCAAATCCAGTCTCAGACACTTACTAGTTGTGTGGTCCTGGGCAAGTCACTTATCCTGTTTGCCTCAGTTTCCTCATCTGTAAAATGAGCTGGAGAAGGAAATGGCAAACCGCTCTAGTACCTCTGCCAAGAAAACCTCAAAAGGGGTCATGAAGAATCAGACAGGATTGAACTGCTACAATTATTTGCATATGCCATAATTTGTCCAGTCATTTCTTAGTCTCCCTGGAATATTTTCATATTTGTTTCTAGCTTTTCCAGTCACAAATAATGCAGCCTCTGTGCCCATTTTTGTACAGAAGGGTCTTCGTCAATCCTTTCCTTGGAATCTCTTGGTCGAAGGGGGTGTATGACTTAGTAGCCACATTTGCACAGTTCCAGGCTGTTTTTCAGGAGTGCTGTTGCCACGTGCAACATCTTTTATAAACGCCCTGGCGGGGAGCCTGGCAGAAGCTGCGGGCCATGCCATCCTTGCTGGAGGTTTCGATGACACTGAAGAATGCATGAGAGACGGAAGTGAGGCGGGGGTGCACTGCAGGCCTGGGGGACAAAGGCTGGGAGGCAGGAGATGAGGGTGATGCATGCAAGGCCAGCCTGGTGCAATCCTCCTGGGCACGGATTCTGGGCGGGGGAGGCTGTTTAATGCCAAACGGGGCAGCCGGATGATCCAGACAATCCCGTAGGTAATAGTTGGAGTGGGCCGTGGGCACCTCTAGCCAAGCCACAGCAAGAGCAGGTCAGACGCCGGAGGGCCAAAGCCACGCGGACAGCACCCCGGGCACCTGGCCGCGGAGCCGCCGTGCGCACGCGCACCACGCCCGTTGACGTCATGCACTGCTTGGCCTCCGGGGCGGCCGCACGCTCGCCATGATAGCCGTGGGCCGCCTCCGGCTGGCCCGAGGCTTCCTGGAGGGGCTGCGGCGGCCGGCGCTGGTCGTGCGCGCGGCCGGCGCCGCCACGAGCCTCCGCCGCCCTCCCCCGCCCGTCCCCGGGCCCAGCCGCGGACGCCCGCGGATCCTGTCGGCGGCCGCCATCGTGGACGCGGCGCCCCGCCCTCTGCAGCCCTATCTGCGCCTTATGCGGCTGGACAAGCCCATCGGTGAGTCCCGGGGGGGCGGGGCGGCGCGCGGTGGGGAGCCGTGATTGGGCAATCCCGCTGGAGTGGCACCGCCGGGCGGAGAGGGCGGGGCAGAGAGGGGAGTCAGCCTACCTTGGAGTGAAAGGCAGTGTGAAAAGCTGAGCATTTAGAGATGAAGAGGAGTCCCTGGACCCCGGAGGCCCCTCACCCGCCGCTGCTTTTACAGATCAGTCAGTCAAGGCCTGCGATGTGTCAGGATTTAAAGACGCTAGCGAAAAGTCGTGGCATCTCCCCTTCCTGAAGTCTACCCTGAAGGAGAGGGATAAGATGCAAAGACAGCTGTAATAGACAACGTTTGTATACGATACATGCATTAGAAAATGACCAGATTAAGTGCATTGTACTTGGGTGTATTAGGGAAGGTTTCATGGAGGAAGGGCGTGTGGATTAGGAAAGGTCTCCTGGAAGAAATAAGTGATGTTGGAGTGCGTTTTAAGGGCTGGCAGAGGGGAGTGGGAGCATCACAGGCATAGTAAATAGGGGAATTCTGGGGGGGATAGGTGCCAAGAGGGAGGGGCTTCCATTAGCTTGAGAAGCATTTCAGCGATGCCACAAAAGTGGATTTAGCTTTCAGGTTGATTGTCAGCCTGGCTTCTGGAAAGCTGGGGGAACAGGATTGGCCGATTCAGCTCTAAGAGCAGGTGGGTCTTTTCTTAGGCATTACTTCTTCTGGCTAGGCCTGGGTCTTAAGGGGGTAACCAAGCCACGGGGTATTAAATGGCACAATGGACAGACTGCTGGACCGGAAGTCAAGAAGACCTGAGTTCAAATGCAGCTTCAGGCATTTACTAGTTTTGTGACCCCACAAGTTGTTGTCATGTGGTCGCGGCCCACTCTTCAGTGGCCCCATTTAGGTGCTCTTGGCAGAGATACTGGAGTGATTTGCTATTTCCTTCTCCAGCTCATTTTACAGATGAGGAGACTGAGGCCAACACAGGGTGAAGTGACTTGCCCAGGGTCACACAGTATGTGTCTGAGGTTGGATTTGCACTCAGTAAGATGAGTCCTCCTGATTCCAGGCCCTGAGCTCTATCCACTGCACCACCTAGCTGGCCTTCTAGGCAGATCATTTCACCTCTGTTTGCCTCAGTTTCGTCATCTGTAAAATGGAGATAATAATAGGACCTACTACCTCCCAGGGTTTTGCTGAGGATAAAATGAAATAATATTTTTAAAGCACTTTGTAAACCTTAAGGCACGATAGAAATGCTAGCTTTAATTATTATCGAGACCTAGAACAGGGCTAGACTAAATGCATTACAAGCAGCTTTTCAGCGAATGCTATTAAACCCATATCGAGAAGGAAGTAGGGCTCTTTGGACCTTACAGACTTCCTAATTCCCGTATGTGCTGTTGTGGTGATTCCCCTGGGTATATCCCCACAGGAGGAAAACTGCACCTGTAAATGAATCTCCTTGCCAAGTGATAGTTTAGCAAGCAGGGGTGGCAGACTCTGGTCCAGTGGGTGTCTCGATGGGTCTCTATCATTTGGGAGCGTAGGAATGGTGGGCTCTGTGGAATGTATTCCACTAAGGGGATAAGTGTGGAGACTCCTGCAAAGCCAGAGGCCTTAGCCTGCTGCATCCGAGTAAGGAGGAATCCGTTGAACCATACCTCAGCCATTGCTAATTGCTGTTAAGAAGCTGGCTGCTGAACTTATTAGAGTGAGACTGAAGGAAACCTTGATAGATGTGTGGACAGAGGGCCAAGAATTGGTGGCATTTTGATGGTCCATTTGAAAGTAGAAAGAGAAGTAACTTCAGAAGCTGATTCTAATTTGATTGTCCACTTTAGGCAATGTGAGCTGTTGGAGTTGAGGTTCAGGAAGAGGGCAGGGAATAGAGTGAGGATAGCTCCCTCTGAAATGAGTGCTCCCAGTTATCTTTTTTCTGTTTTGTTTTGTTTTTGAGGCAGTTGGAGTTAAGTGACTTGCCTAGGGTCACACAGCTAGTAAGACTGGATTTGAACTCAGGGCCAGTGCTCTATCCACTGTGCCACATAGCAGCCCCTCCTCCCAGTTGTCTTGGCCATCGATCTTCCCTGCCTGGGTGGAAGGGTGGACCTCTTTGATACCAAACAGGCCATAATGGGGCTGCCAGCCCTTTAGGATAAGAGACAAAGGAAAAGGGAGTTATTAATGTTATTATTAAAGCATGGAATTGATAAGAAGGGAGTTGACAGCCAGCCTGCACCTCCGCTAACTCACTTGTAGTCTGATTAAAGATTATCAGGGTCAAGTTTCCCAAATCTATTTCGTTTTTACCATTTGACCAATAGGGGACGAAAGGCATCAAGCCCATTGGGTGGGAGGTGGGGTTCAGACGTGGAGAGGTTAGACACAGGAAGTCAAGTGACCGTCATCCCTGGTGGCCCCACTCAAGTGAGCCGTGGAACCCCTGAAGAGGTGGGAGGTTTGAGGGGAGCTACAACCCAGGGGACAAAGATCAGCATCTGAATGAAGGTGGAAGGATGTCATAAACCAGCCTGAACTGATACTGAGGATGGATTTGTTGGGTTGAGGGGAGCAAAGTGGTCCTGGTTTAGATTATAGCATCCTAGGCCATTACATTTTACTGGCAGCCCCTCTGTTGGCCCAGACTGTCCCACATTTTAAAAATCAGGCAGTGTCATATCTCTGGGGGCCCCAGGGCCCAGAAATATGCCAGGCCTGGGCTGATGGGTACCAGCATTTTCCCCCAAGGATTCACTGATCTCCCTAAAGGTGATGTGTGCATTGAGCCCCTTCTCCATTATTCTGAGATAGGCAGTGATTCAGGAAGTGAGCCTGATGTGGACCATAAGATATAATAAAAGCACATTTAATATGAGATGAGAACAAAGGATACAAGTCCTAAAGTTTAAAATATGGTACTTCAGGGGCAGTTAGGTGGTACAGTGGATAGAGCACCGGCCTTGGAGTCAGGAGGACCTGAGTTCAAATATGACCTCAGTCACATAACCCTCACTAGCTGTGTGACCCTAGGCAAGTCACTTAACCTCAATTGCCTCACCAAAAAAAAAAATTAAATTAAAAAAAAAGTATTGTACTTTAGATAAAATAACCATCCCCTTCCTCTCCCATTTACCGTGACAACCTGATATGCTAGGTAAAGAAGGTGTTCCCACTGGGCAGTAGGACTTCCAATTCCCCTTAGACTGAATTTTTCGTATGCCTCAGGAGACAAGGAAAACAAACCAGTGATGACCTTGAGAATAGCTTCTCTGTCCCCTATAAGGCATTGAGGCCAATGTACGAAAAACAGATGCCTCTCCTACTAACTCACTGTCAGCTCTGGCCACTTGGGTGCCTCCTTGTGAGGATGTGGTCACTTCAGATGGCCCTGGTGTCTGGTTTGTTTCGGCTTCTCCCATTGTGGGAGTCAAGTCCCCCAGTGCTGCTAGTTCTCTGCCCCCCCTTGGTCAGTTTCATTGTGTCTCTGTTGAGTGGAGAACTGGGAGGGTCTTCTTGGTGGACTGGGTTTGGGGCCTATGAAACTGAGGGAGAAGGAGCGAGTCATCATTTATCCGGATTCTTGGACAGTTGTTATGGGCTTTGCTGAGTGGTTAGGATACTGGAAGCTTAATAGTTAAACTATCAAGCAGCTCCTTCTATGGAAGAAGAATCAATGGTGGACCTTCGTTGATACAGGCGACTGGGTTTTATAATCAGAGGTCTATGTCAGCACACTCACTAACCCCAGCATAATCCTTTGGCCAAATGCAATAATGCTATAGATAGACTCCTTCCTTCCAGCCACCCTCCCTTCATTTTCTCTGATCAAGGGACCCGTTTTACCTTCAGGATCGTGCAGGATTGGGTTAAATTCTATAATACCATATGGTGTTTTTATTTGGTTTATCATTCTCAGGCAGTGGGCCTCATTAAGCATTGGAGTAGGCTTTTCAAAGTCCAGTTTTTGTGGACCTTTCCATTTGCTAAATAGGCTGATTTTCTTGTGGACAAAGTGCCTCGACACATTCATCCTTAGCTTTCTGAATGGGGGTCATTTTTCCACTTGGTGCTTTCTTAATATCAGCTGTAAGGGTGCAGGGGTATTTGATTAGGGTGAGAGTACCTTACTATTCATTCTAACACCAGTATGACATCAGGGAAATTGTTCTGCCTCTAGTCTGGCTCTGTCTGGAGCCATAGGCCTGATATGGAAAATACGAGATGCAGATGGTACCTTTTACTCCCCAGGAAAAATTGAGAATATTTCCTGCCAATCTCAAGTGTACCTCTCCTCTGGATAGTAAGTGGGTAAATCGCCATCTTGGCCACGGAGGAGGGGATAATGGACCTTGACCTTTGAGAAATGTAAGTAACTGCACAGCCTGGGTAAGGAATAAGTCAGGTAGAGGGGGGGGGAGGGAGGGGAGGAGGAAGGTGTTGCCCAATTGGGCCTTCTGTCTAGCCCATGTTTAAAAGTTGAGGGACAGACAGTAAGATGAGTGAAATGAACAAAGCATTTGTTAAGTGCCTACTATATGCAAAGGACTGGAGAAATAAACAGGTGAGTAACACGGCCCCTCCCTGCTCTCTAGGAGCTCATATTCTGATGGGAAGACGACACATAATAACAACGATGTTGGTCAGTTGTGTCTGACTCTTCATGACCCCATTTGGGGTTTTCTCATCAGAGATACTGGAGAGGTTTCCCATTTCTTCTCCACCTCATTTTACAGATGAGAAAACCGAGGCAGACAGGTTAAGTGACTTGCCCAGGGTCACACAGCGAGTTAAGTGTCTAAGGTCACATTTGAACTCAGAACTTCCCAACTGCAGGCCTCGTGCTCTATCCATCCACTATGCCATTTGTTTTCAAGAAAGTTTCAGCCATTGCTAGGGTGCAGCGGCGCAAAGCAGGTGTTCATTTCTCTTCTTACTGTCCTCTTCACGTTGACTCCTGTTCATGCCGCGTATCCAGGGGCCGCTGCGTCCGGAGAAGAGCCCTCCTTTG